AAAGGAAACCAAAACAGCCTCAGAGCCCTGCAGCACGCACCAATCCAGTGAGGACACCAGCTGCAGCAGCACCTGAGGGAACAAAGCACCAACTCCTGCAGGCAGCATTTGGCACCCTCCCTCCATCAAGCCTACCCCTGGAGAATGGAGGTGCCATCACCTTCTCACGCAAAAGGAGTTCTGTCACCCAGGGGCACCACACACTGTTTGGGGACACAAGGACACTGCTCACCTCACTCCAGAGTCGCACCAAGAGAATGCCCACTCTGAACCTGCAGCAACAACTCTGCAAAACGCAGGGCAGACCAGTCAGAGGGCTCACAACTCCAGGCTGATCCTCGCTGCTGAATGCTCTGCTGTGGCACTCACCCTGTAAGATCATCCAGACGCAACTTGAACATTCCCAGACAAGGAGACTCTGCAACCTCTCCAAGCAGCTTATTTCATCCCTCCCGCAGTGAAATCATTCTTCCTGTTCATATAGAAACTATCTAGAAACTTCCACCGCTCCAGTCTGTGAACACTGCCCCCATTCCACCACCACACACCTCTGAAAAAACCCATCACCATCAACTACACTCCTGCATTTAGGTACTGACAGATGTGATATCCCACCACCCCACCATATCCACTGCATTTCTCTCATCTCATCGCATAATCGCAACGCAAAAAGTTACCTACCAGCTCAGTCTGACATCGCTTCCCCTTGCTGAATCCACCGTGGCTGCTCCTTACAAATATCTCTGAGCAACGGGAAGAGAAGGTAACATCTAGAACGAGCTGTCCCATCACTGTGCCAGGGAGGGAGGTGAGACTGCCAACCTACAGTTGCGCAGGCCATCCTTCTTGCTCTTTCTCAAGACTGCGGTGACGTTGGCTCTCCGTCGGTCCTCAGGCAACCTTCATCTAGGAGAGTAAAAAGAACGATAGAGAGCTCTTTGGCAGTCGCTTCTGCCAGCTCCCCCAGCGCACATAGGCATCAGTTTTACCTACGTGATTTTTGAACAGCTCCTCCGCCCTCAA